AGCCTTTTTTGCTTACTTCACTAAAAAGAAGGAAAAGCAGATTATTTTCTGATATGGAGCCCCAGGTCATTGCAGTTGCACAATAATTAGATCAAAGGCAGAAAGTGCTGCAGTCACCCTAGATGGATACAGTACAAGATAGTCACTTGTTCACTATCACCCTCCTCTCAGGCTGATAGTGAAGAATTTTCAGCTTCTGTCACATCACGAAGATGCAGGATTGTTTTCATCTACAAATCCGTTCAAAGAGAAAAATAGGATATTTCTCACAATTCTGGAATATAATAAACCTTGGGCAACTGCAACATCTTGTTCTGTGCTTTGACAGCACAGAACTTGGTGAACACTAATAAGTCATATATTTACAAGCTTCCAGACACCTTCTGTAACCCAGCCTGATCCCAAGCTGTCACTGCTTTACTGATCAGTCACTTAGTTCAAATAATTGCTGGTCTGTTGGCATGAGCTGCAATCACATCTGTGACAGACACTGTATATTAATTACTTGGAAAAGGTATTGTCAAAACCTGCATGTTTGGAGGGTGATTTGTTAATGTCTGTATTAATAATTTTAAATTCTGAGAAGAACATTCTGAATGATCTTCAGTCCCTGGCTCCTTTTAGTGACCAACGCACGAGATTAGCCTTGTAAACTGAATTAGGTGGACGGTCTTTGGGCATAAACAATCATCTTACTGTCATGATGAGGGTCTCTTCCATAGACACACTAATTCAGAGCCCTGTAGCTGTTTGTCTAGTAGCTCTGTGCCTCTCTCAGACTCAAAATAGACCTGAAATAGCACTTGAGTGAAGCCTTTTGTACATTGATGTATTTACTTCTCTGCTTACCAGATAAAGAAGCAACAGACAGCATACCAGTACTAGATGCACACTATTACCACGCACATTTTCTATGCCTGACCTTGACATATGTGACGTGATTTGTGCATAATGTTCTGTCCTTGAGCAACTGGTTATTCACAGACAGACACACAACTGGCTGTCTCTAATTATGTCCCATGTATGTGAGAAACAAAGAGATATTAAAGACTGGTTTATATTCTGGCAAACACCCAACTGTGGAAGGTGTGCTGGGAGACCCATAACAGTTTCTAAAGCCTGTAACTGTAAAGTGAACTCACATTCATCATTGTGTCTAAAAAGTTATGTCTAGGGAGGGGAAACAGCTGCCTCCAAATCACCTGGCTGGATAGCAGAGAGAGAGAAGAATCAAAGCTCAGAGAAGAGTGAGTATTATCTCGGGCGAGCCCTGCAGGCAAAGAAAGCCTCTGCTGGCCACAGGCTGCACCGCTTGCTTTTAACTTGTAAACACCAAATTCTACAGAGAAAACCACTGCCATAAAGAAAGGCTTTTAGACGACTTCAGCATACTGGTTTTTAACCTTTCTTTGCTAGCATCTACACAATATCTAAAAATGTTTGTGAAATTAACTTTTATTAGCCAGGATGTCTACAGAAAGCAGATAAAACCTTTTCCTTCCATTTATGTGCATTCACAGCAGAATGTCTGACTTGAAAGGTAAAACCTTTAGTAAGAATGCACCTGACTGAACACAGTTTAATCAAGGAGCTGAGGTGCTGATTGCTATTAAAGAATATCAAAAGAATTCCTGAAGTGCCTATAAAATTCAATTTGCTAACATCAGATGAAAACGAGACTGCTGCAAACAAAATATAAATCAAGATTTTTCAAAGAAATAGTTAAAAATTATTATTTCCTCACTTATACTACAGGAATTTGGGGTTTCAGCACCATCCCCTAAAGGGTCTGGTTTTTGAGACCTTGGGCTGTGCACGATGCTGACCTTGTATTCATCACGGAGGAGTGAGGCAGTTGTCAACAAAACAAAGTGTAAAGCAAAAAAATGAGCCAACGGTAGAGGTCAGCCACGAACTGTAGATTTCCTCTCCGAATTTCTTGCCTGAACAATTCATGCTGTTTACTGAACACTCAAAAATATCTGGGGCACCTGTGCCAAAACAGCAGTAGATAACAGTAGAAGGAGGAAAGAAAATGAGCCTTCTTTCCAAAATAAGACAAGGCGAAAATCCAGATACTAAGAGCACTGCCATGGGAAGGTTGAAGTACAAATGGATAATAACACTTGTTTTTTCTGTGAATAACACAGAGCTCCCCTAGCAACTCACTCTTGTCTGCTGGCTGGTCCAAAAAGGTCAGTATCTCATGGAAAAAAGAATCAACCAAAACCCAAAAACCCACCAGCTACGACTTGGCTTTTGGAGATTTAGCTTTACCACTTGCTGGTTTTTACTATCCCTTGGTAAAGTTGTCTGGCATGTTGGCTCATTTGAAAAGGGGAAGGTTCCAGTCCTGCTGTGACAGCTGGAATACATGATGCACCAATTACTGAACTACTCAGGTTGCCCCAAGATGCATCTGCTTTTGTGCTCAACATTGAAAAATACTTAAACAGTAGCTACATAAATTAGGTCAGTGCTTAAGCCAGAACAGATAACCTGGATTTTCAAAGCCGAGAATTAACATGGGCTAAAAAAACTGCTGTTTGATGGTCATTTGAAAAACAAGCACTTAGTTACCCCTTGCAAATGACAACATTCTTCAATACCATTCTTTTCTAAGTGCAGCTGCCTGGGACATTCATTTAACGTAGCAACTGGATTTGAAGGGCAGGGAATTTGGACTGAAAGAAAGAACCCATCAAAATTGCGCTTAGAGTTGCAGATGGGAACCAGACAATCAACAAAATGTGTTGAATTTTCTAGGCCTGCTTTCCAACTGTGGTGCATTATACCTGTCCCAAGCAGGAGCTCAGCCACCATTTTACTGTCATGTGTTTGCCAAGCACTAAACACAATGCCCCTCAGCCATTGTTTTTTTCCCCGTATCTAGACAAAACATCCAGCACCTGAGCACCCAGCCCTGCATCTCTGCTAGGGATTTAATAGCCACGTATGCAACATCATTGTGACCATTGCTCTCCCCTCTAGATGTGACCAAAGCCAAGCTACTGTCTGAGGCCAGCAAGGACTGGCCCTACCCTGGTCCGTGCTCTGGCTGCCTTCCCCTTCCACTGCCCTCCTCGCTCCTGCCAGGGGTTATCCTGCTCGGGGCACTCTGCTGCCCTTTGGCTAACTCGCGCCTTAAATAACGCTGCAGCCGCTGCCTATGGTGAAGAGAATGACCTGTGCCGAGGAGAGCCGGGAGCGGTGGGGGATTTGGGGGATGGCTGATACCGTTTGGTTTTTGGGGCAGCGCGGGCAGGGTGTGCTCCCCGGAGCGGCCGGGCCGGCTCCCCTCCCCTGTTCTCCCGTCCCCGAGCGGCCGGGGCTCCCCGCGGTGCCGCTGCGGGCTCGGGGAGGGCAGCGGGTGCGGGCGGGCGCGGCTGCCCGGCAGGGGAGGGGGCCGCCCCCGCTCTCGGCTCTATAATGCCGGGGCCCCCTCGCCCAGCCACACCGGATCGCTCCGGCTGTCGCAGCAGCCTGCGAGTGGCTCCGCTCCCTCCCCTCCGGCCCGGAGACGCTCGAGGATTAGGGAAGGGAGGGAAATCCATCAGTCGAGAGGCAGGGCGGGGAGGCGGGCCGTCAGCATCCCTCCGCTCCGCCCGGGCCGGCGGCGCCGTAGGGCGAGCTCCGGTGCGGGCGCAGGAAGGGGCCGAGCAGCCGGAGGTGCCCGGAGCTCCCGGCGGCTCCCAGCGGCCCGGATCCGCGGCTCGGAGCTGGCGGGGCTCGGCGGCGGGAGAAGCCGCCGCTGCTGTTGGTGTGTCCGTCCCTCGCGGCGCCGGCTCTCTCGGGATGGGCCTCCCGGAGCTGGCGCTGTGGCTGCTGGCGGCGGCGGGGCTCGTGCGCGGTGAGTGGAGCGGGTGGGTCGGGCGGGGACGGCAGCCCCGGGTCCCCCCCAGCACGGCGGCTCTCCGGCCCCGACCGTCCCCTGCTGCCCTCTCCTTCTGCCCTCTGCCAGCCCCGGCCGCTGCGGCGGGGCTCGCCCCCGTCCCGGGCCGCACTGAGGGCTGGCCAGCGCTGGGACCTGCCGGGAAGGGACATGGGAGAAGGGTGGTGGGGATGGGGGAGCGAACTCTGTGAAGGGATTTAAATGGTCGTTGTCCTAGGGCAGAGGTTGAGGCTATTTTGTGGAGGGAGTTGAGGACTAGAAAATTGGGAAGAGGGAAGTCCGTCTGGAGTGGGACAGGGAGGGCTCACATCCAGAGCACCTGTTCCTACCCTGTCTCACATTCCCTTTCATTGGGAAACTGCCTCTGTCCCTGGTCTTCTCTGCTCCATTCATGTAGACCTGCTCCTTCTCTGCACAGAAAGACGGCAGAATAAGCATCCTCCCTGGATTTGAAGTGTAAGAAGGACAGAAATCCCCAAATAATAGCATATATAATAATGTAGTGCCTATCATCTCTGCCAGGAGCCCCGTACCCCACTTCACTTGTAACTGCATGAACAGAGAACAAAGCGGAGTGTACCTGCCCCAAAGAGTTCTCTGTCTGAAGCAGCTCGAGAGCAGTGTTCAGTCTCACCTGTGGCCATTTTTCTCCTATTGTGTTGCTGAAGCCCTCTGCCATATCTCTGTTCTGCTGTTCTGGTTATAGCTATGCCAGGACAAGTGTCAAATCACAGGTACTGTGTTTCCTCTTCATCACTTCTTGCTGCTGGACCGAAGGGTGCATACATTGAGAAAGCATCATTAGCATTTAGAATGTATCACTCATGGTCAGTAAAGAAATTACCAAAGAGCTTACAGGCTGGGATGAACATTTGTGATTAGGATTTTGTTGTAGTAGCTAATTAACTATTTGAAATACAGTGGCATTTTTTCTGGGAATGCAGCAGGTGTAATAAGAGATACATAATATCTGATAGGAGTGAAAAAGCATGCCTGAGCTTTTTCTGATGTAGAATCCTTATTATTTATCTTTTTATTCCTGTGTCCAAAGAGTCTCTGCAAGGAGAGTTCCAAAGGAAGCTTTACAAGGAGCTGCTGAAAAATTACAACCCGTTGGAGCGACCAGTTGCAAATGATTCCCAGCCACTCACTGTCTATTTCACCCTCAGCCTCATGCAGATCATGGACGTGGTAAGTCTTTAACCTTCTAGGAAACTGTTTCAAAGGGTGGATTTTTCCTTCCTAGAAGGGACAGTGGAGATAGCAAAGGAAGACTATAAGAAATTGGAAAGCATAACTAATTCAAGACACAATGCCAAATTTTGTCTGCATCTTTAAAGAACTAAACTTAGAAGTACAATTTACGTCTTTCTTAGATCTCTTGTCAGAAATTCCCAACATTTTTAGCAGTAGAAAATATTTCAAGGGAAGCTCAAAATACACATTTTTGCCTTTCGAACCCTTAACTGTCCTTAGAACCAACAAGCAGTACAGTCTGGGAGGGATTTGCAAAATCAAAGTTCTTGATTTCTGCTAGTCACTTAAGAGCTACCTATCTTGGAAGATGGAGGGAGAGAAAATCCTGGCCAATTCCAAATTATGTTATTTCCTTCGGTATGTAGATGGGATTACTACATTCTACATGCTTAAGCAGCTACTGTATTTACAACCACAACTGATTGGTATATCAATAGTTATTCCTGTGCTGTACTTGTACAATGCACTTTAGGATCTTTTGGGGTTCAAATATGACTAATTTAAGCTTCACTCTGTCATAGTGGCACAGAGATGCAACTCAGCATATATAAGTGGGTTTACAGTGTCTGTTTTTACTGAATTAAACTAGATATGACAACTGATAAGGAAGTTAAAGTCTTTAAGATGTGCTTAACCTCAAAATTCTATTATCTTTCCATCAGATGAAGTTCAAGACATGGAGTTAATTTCTTCTGAAGTTGTCAAATTTAATTAAAACCCATACAAAATGAATGGAAAATATCCACAGATCACTAGTCAATCTGAGTGTAGTCAATGACTGGCAGTCTTGGCTAATATTATTCAAAAGGGAGCTTTTGATCCTATATGTCTGTCAAGAACCCCCCTTCACAGTCAGTCAGAAACCTTAGTTTTTGTACTGGCTGTTTATTACAGCTCATTCTGCTTGCCATAAAACTCTCTGCATTTCTTCCTCTGAGATCTGGGATTGACAGCCAAAGAAAGAAACTAACCATGAAGTAAATTAAGCTTCACTCTATAAAACAAATGAGTTTTCTTCATTGTCAACAAGAAGCAAATGCTGGTGGGAATGACAGCTACTTGCAATAACAATTACTGGTTTAACAAGCTAGAAACAAAACGTGTCACCATCATACTTTCCTGTAGTTTTTATATTCACTTTAATGGCTTCTCAGCTGATGGCCACTGAGTCTAATTGGGAGTTAGACCTCTCCAGAGCCAATCCATCAAATCCCTGCCAGAACAGATTGAGCCAGGCTGGATCCTGGTTGCTGCTATTCCTCAGGTAAAGTCTCTTCCATTCCACTCTGACTGCTGACAGGAGAAGGGAGACAGTGTATGAAATCTTTTCTAAATACAATGGGTGTTTCCTACCTTATATTTCTACTTTTAACCTGTCCTATTAAACCTAGAAATTTTCTACCCCATGGTTGTAGATATGATTTTCTTTTAATGGTATTGCACATTAATATGCATGCTAGCATCAGCAGTACATAATGAGGGATCTGTAAGTGCCAATTGCCCCAGCTTAGTGGAGTTCACTAGAAAATAGAATTAATTAATCTTCTAAGGAGAATGAAAGCTGGCATAGTAAATTATACAAAATGTTTCTAAATGGGGAGAAAAGCAGTGGCAGCATAAGAAAAATGCGGTTTGGGGATGCATGACTGAAGAGGAGAGCTAGGAAAATAAGGGAGCACTTAGAGAGGAAGTGGGAGTACATGGTAGGCCTGAGATACAGCAAAAGAATTTGGAAGAGAGGCGGAATTTAGATGGAAGAGGATGGGGTGCAGAATGGAAAGTAAGAGGTTTGAAGAGTGAACTTCAGAAAGAAAAATCTTAAGAGACAAAGAGTAAGGCATACCTTAGTGGAAGGAATGGAAGAGGGGCTAATGAGTGCTTATAGCTTCAGTACAATGGCAGTAAAAATAAAGAATAGGATGTAAAGAAGCTATGTCTTTTTCTCTACTTCTCATAGACACCCCTCAATCTGCACATAAAACTGGTCTTTGGCTTCTGCTTGTCTGGTATTTCAGTACTGGCATGGAATCTTAACCTAACTTAGGCTTAGGAAAATTTCCAGCATATGCATTTTTGAGAAACAGATTATTGAAATACACTGATATAATTTCCACACTGAAAAAAATTACAGCCACCACATTTTTAAACCCTATATGGAGGTAAATATCTTCTAACAGTGTTGTTTTCTCTTAAAAATCCATCCCAATTGTAGTATCCGAGGAGAACATTCAGCCATTGCCTATTGGCTTGGAGGGAACACAAGGAGTGTACACAGCAGCAGTGCTGTTCCTACTCTGCTACATCTCATACAGAGCAGGGAATGGCACAGAAAAACAAATGCAGTGAGCATGAGGGTATGAAGTTTGTGCCTAGTCTGGCATTTTTACAACAGACATATCAACTGTAAGTTAATACAATTAAGAGAAATGTATCAGAGGGTATTTCATCCCCAAAAGCCAGAAGATGAAGCCATCAAAATGAAATGGTCACACAATTATACTGCAAATGACTGCTTTGAGACACAAGCCTGAAGAACTGGAATACACTGCAGTAGAGTGATAGTTCAAACACAATTTTTACTGCTATCTAAATGAATAGAAAAAATCACAATCTTATTTTAGTTTGGACAGGCCTTCTAGAGATCTTGTCCACTCCCCTACTGCAAAAATGTCTTAAATGGATCATGTTACTCAGGACTGTGTCCAGTCAAGTGCTGACCACTTCGACAGCAAGAGTTTCCACAACCTTCCCTGGCAGTCAGTATTCAACTATCATCATGGTAGATTTTTCCTAACATCTAAGCATAACTTCTATTTTTCAACTTGGGAACAGTACTGAAAAACAGTTCTAGAAAAATGAGACCCTTTTTCTTTTTCAGGAAAATAATAATAATAAAAAAAGATACTTTTGGTGAGTATTCCAGATTTCTTGACCATTTGCAGCAAGGTGTTTATATTTCTGAGTACCACAGCAGAAAGCTAGAGAATGAAAACTTGGTAAACCCACATGGCAGAACTCATTCTTTGAGTAGCTGTTCATTCTCAATATATAAGTTTTTCAGCTCTCTGGCTGGAGTCTAGAATTTTTACCAGCTTTCTATGTGGAACTTGGGGCAGCACTTTGGGAGTGTCCTAAGCTGATCTCAGCCTTTGCTACTGGAAGAAATCTCTCTCAGTTCTGGACTCATGGTGACAAATATTTTGGTGGGTATGAGTGTGACCATTTTGGTCTACTCTGGTCATAAATTAGTTAATTTTTTAGAATCAATATTTAATGATTTATTGAAGAAAGTTGAATTAAGCTACTTATCTACATGAATATTAAAATTCTTACTTATGTTGCATAACACTATTTAGTCAGAAATCTTTCATGTTTTCTGAAGACACTTGCTGGCCAATTAAATCATTTACTACACAACAGTTTTCGCTTATTTTCCAGTTTCTCTTGTTCCCTTTTTTAAAAATTTCTAGTTAGGGGAAAGAAAAGCGCTGAATAGTTGTTTGTATGTAGTGAGCAGCAGTAGAACCTCAAGGGAAATCCTGTTCCTTTAGGCTGTTCAACTCACTTGTGCAGACCAAAGGATAAATGAAGGCATGCAAATTTTTTTACATTTACCTGAACTTAGTCAAATTTGCTTATGTTACATTGCCCTTGGTTACTTGCATGACTTAGTTTTATATATTCAAGGGGTTTTGTCCTTGTTTTGTTTTACACAGTGAAGTGATCCAGCTGACTATAATAACTTACATACAAGGCTTTGCAAAAGCTCTGTGTAAGGATCTTCAATTCAGTGTTTGCAACCCAATACCCTGGACCCACTGGGCAAGATAACAATGTCAAATATCTTGAAATTTTGAAAAGAAAATCATGCTGTCATTCAAAGAAGCAGAACAGCTTCTGTAAAGAAACAGACTTTAAAACAAACATCTTTCCTACCAAAGAGGCGGGAAGGGGAAAAGAAAAAAAGAAATTGAAATCTGGAAAAACAAATAAAACAACCAAATTAAGAGGCTCATTGAAAAATGGTGCTAATGAAGTTCCTCAGATGTTTATCAGATCTCAGCAGCCTCTTTTTGCAAACAATGGCTGTGGCAGAAGCTCATCAAATCTGGATTATTCTTTTAATTTTAGCATTCATTTGTGTACATTACAAAATATCTCCTTCTCAGTTTGTTGTTTGAAATTTTTTCCTACCATGCTAAAGAGAGAAGCTGTTTGCACTTTCATCTTTCAGCCATTTCCATTCCACCATAATTTATTCCTGAGAGTTTAGAAAACTGGAAAGGTGCTAGGATATGCCTTCTGATATTTTTAGCTAGTTTAATACCATGAAAGTTACAGATTATAACAGAAAATGGAGTATTCTATTTTTCCATGCCATCTGAAGAACACATCAGACAAGAGTCTAAAATATTCTGATAATTGATCTACTTTAACAAGACAACCTACCCTACTGTGGTGAGATATTAATATTCTAAGAGAAACTGCAACCTTATTTCTGTGATATTTGTCGATCTTTCCTGTGCTTCTAAATATCTTCTGGATTTTTTTAACTCTTCCATTCATCAGCATTTTACCTAGTCTCCTCAAGCAGTGTTAGATCTGGAAAGATATTTTAAACACAGGAGGATGTGTAGGATGGAATGGGAAGCAATGAATGTACACTAATTAAAGGCAGTTTGCAGGAAGGAAAAAAAGGACTGACTAAAGGCTATAAAAACCCCTCCTGATTATAGTTCACTTGAGGACATTAGAGATGTTCATTGTATGTGAAAATCAGAACTTCTGTTCTGCTTTCTGATTCCATAGGAGAGATGTTTGGAACTTTTCTGTAATACAAATCAGCTGGGGTTTTTCTGTTTGTGTGGATTTTCTTTCTAATATGAGTAAAGTGAAGGAGTTTCTCAGACATTTTTCTTGTTCTTTGTGATATA